TTAAATTATAATAAAAAAATAAATTTCATAAAAAATAAGAAATTTTAAATAGTTGATTTGATATTAACATTGATATATATATATTTTTAAATTTATATTTTATTCAAAAATAAAATAATTATTGTTTTATTAAAACACATAAAATCGACAAAGACAAAGAATAAGTAGAACCTTAAAATCAAGATGTATCTCGTTTCACTGCGCGAGTATCTTTCTAGTGAAAAATTAAATAGATTGTATTTTTTAATGATTTAAAAAAAATTCCTATTTTTTGAGAAAATTTATTAACAGAATATGGTTATTGCTACGGTGTCACTTTTATTTCCCGTAGTTCAAATAAATTTGACGATTTTACATTTCCAACCCCACAGACAAACAAGCATAAATAATTAAATACCACCAGCAGGGGCAATATAGTAACTTAACAAGAACAAAGCCACCCCGCCCAAGAGCCAAAATGCAAAACACATTTGAAATTTGAAAAGTTCCACTGAAATCTCAGTCTCGTGCTCACTAATTAAAAATTATCCAAGAATAAATTTCCCAATTTTAGAATTTCAACTCAAAATCCCTACTTTTTTTTGGGGGTTTGATTTTGGTTTATATATAACCGCCTAATTTTCATTTGAAATTTCGCCATTTTCACCTCTCCTAAAGTTCTCTTCTCTTCTCTTCTTCAGCCTCTTCAAAAGTAGAGGACCACCACCATTGTTGTCTCATCCGAAGATCTTCAAGATCCATACCACCAAAATACACACAGTAATCAGGTAAACTATACTTTAGTTTCAATTCAACAATTTAATACATGGGTCGCTGAGAAATTGAACTTTTGATGTAAAACCATATGGGTTTCTAAGATTTTTTGTTTCCGGCTACATTGCTGAATCGCCGGAATAGTTTTCAGATAAGTCGCATTAGCAACTTTTAACTGATTTGAAAAACCCCAGTTTCAATTTGTGAATAGATCTAGGGTAGGGTCGCTGAAATGAAAATTCTCTTATTGGTTTCCTGAGATATTGCACCCCCATTGATTACAGGGTTTTGTGATCTATCAAAATTGCTTTTAGTTTCCTAATTTGTAGTCTATTCCTCCTGCAGTTAACAAGATTAAAATGCCGGAAGCAAGGGATAGACTATCGAGGCCAAACAACGAAGTTGCAGAGATGCACAGTCTTCGTAGGACGCCAGTCGGTATATTAGGAATCCTTGTGGATGACGATGATAGCGACAGGAGTATTAGCCGGACTCCTTTCAGGTGGGGGGCGACGCCGTTAACAGGTGGTGGTTCAGGGCAACCGATAGGCGAGCCTCATTCTACTAGAACTACTATGGGTGCTACAACTAGAGGAGGAGGTGGTGGTGGAAGGGGTCTTTTCGGAACTCCCAGGACTGTTTATCGGCGTGGCAGCCGTAGCCAAAATACGCCGCCGTCTGGTAGTAGTTTCCGGCGAGGCAGAGGAGGACGTTCCGGGCAGCAAAGTGTGTTACCTTATTGGTATCCTCGTACTTCTCTCGGTGACATAACTCATGTCGTCCAGGTATGATTCTCTTAATCACTTGTATTTGGTTCATAATTGTAGATCTCTATATGTTGTAATCGCTATTATTCTTTCGTGATTGGGCTTCTATATTTCCATGTAAATATGGGGTAGTTAATTTGAATTTTATCAACGGTTTCTTGATTTCTTTCTTATTGCGTCCATCATTCAACCTGTTGTTTTTGTGATCGAATCTTTATGGGGTTAGGGTTTGAAGTTGGAATTAGTTGGTTGTGGTTCATAGATTTACAGACGTCTGATCAAAATCAATGCTATCGAGGCCATCACAACATTTCTTCCTTTTGGTCCTTTAAATGGCCAATCTTTATAGGTGTCCATTCTTGAAAACTCATAATTGTGGTGCTGATTATATGATAACATATAGGCCATTGAGAGAAGAAGATTGCGTTTGGGAGATGGTGAAGGCCGATTTTTTGGGAGCCCAACCCCTATTAGGATTCATCATCAGCCTGCTGCTCATGATCTTTCTCCATCAGATGCTCAACTCGAGCATGAGGTTTCTTTAGTGACTCCAAAGCCAAAATTAGCATCTAAAACTTGTAAACCATCAACATTGGGGAAGGTTCCAAAGATATTAGCAGACATCGCTAATCAGGGTGTCGGAGAATCAGAGTTCTTGACACCCCAGAAGAAGCTGCTTAACTCCCTTGACATTGTTGAGAAAGTGGTGATGGAGGAATTGCACAGATTGAAGAGAACCCCATCTGCCAAAAAAGCCGAGAGGGAGAAAAGAGTCAGAACTCTGATGTCAATGCGCTGATTGACTGAATCTTTCTTAGATTTGGTGTCTACTTAAAGAAGGCTCTACTCTTGTTGAGCAAATTAGAATCACAGAGGTATGTTTGATCAATCATCTACTGATGATTGGGAGATTTGCAGACAGAGGTGTGCTTGATTGATCATCTACTGATGATTGGGATGGGCTCCAAGTATGCTAATTGTTCACCTTTTTTCTTGAAAGGTCAGTTTGTTTAGTTACGAACCTGAGGACAAATGATGACTGATATTTTCTTGTATCCATCGGCTTTTAGACTGTAATCTGGTTTGTTGAAACTATTGATTTGAGTAATGGTATAGTCGTTTTAGACAGAAAGCTACAAGCAGATGGGTTAACTAGAATTTCTTGTAGTGACAGTCTGTAAAAACCTTGGTCATTTTAAGGGCAGGAACTGTTTTTTCTTGCAGTTGGTTGTTGTGCATATTGGTGCTGTAGCTGCTATTTGTTTTCACCCTTGAAATATATATCAATGGTTGAAGTTGATACAAAATTCACCATTTTGGGTGTCAGGGTTGAAGCTGCCCATTAGAGCAACTACAATTGTATGGTAAAAACTGTATTTTACTAGCTGGAATGCTCCAACCACATTGCAAAATCACTTGTAAAATAATGTTAGTTGGAAGAGAAACGACATATACTTTGTTTCCATACAAACGGCATGTATGACGCATGGTTGGAGTTGGATCAATTTTTTGGTATTATTGTCTTATGGGCTGTTTACCAACACTTTTGGACAAGTGCTCACTGGAAAAATTTAAAACTATCAATTACTTATTTGGTAAGATTTTAGTCCACCAAAACGGTATCGTATGCAACAATTAACCTGGTAAGTGCTAATTGTGGTAAGAGTCGCCGTTACTTATCGGATAAGACTCCCAGTCCTTGCCTTTGCTCTTATTGGGTAACATCCTTGGTCCTTGCCATATTGATTCGGTAAGGTAATGTGCCTTGATAAACGCTTATTCGGATAAGTGTTTCGTAAACAGCCTGTCTTGGTGTTCTTTTTAAGGGGTGAAAATGGTGTAGGGGGCATCTTTAGACAACACCATTAGTTCCTAATCTTTTGTTGGGCATCATTTTTACTTGAAGAAATATGATACAAGTAGTAGAATATCAAATTTGATGTAATTCAATTTTGATATTTTATGAAATTATATATTTATTTTTCATTGTAGAATAATATTTTAATTTTAAGAGTTTTTATTAATTTTTAGATTTGCAATGATTTTATTGTTTTAATAAATTTAAATTTTTATGTATTCAAGTTATTTAATTGTACAATTTATATAATTTGTAACATTAATAAATATAAAAGGTGTTATTAAGAATCTATATAATTAAATATTTGTTTTGGTATAAAAATGTGTAAGAAACCCTAGAAGAGAAATCGTGTTTGTAATAAAATAATAGTGTAAAATGCGTGAAATAACAATCTATTTTTATAAATTTTCTTATTATAGTTTTGTACTTTCAATTTTTTTATTACAACAATGTATTTTTAAAATATTTTTTATTAAGACGTCGTACTTTCAAGTTTTTTACTCATTATAACATTAAGTAACCTTTTAAATTAAATTTATATATTATACCGGGTTTTTTTCCCAACTCTCGTCCATGTAAACTGTTCACATGTACGATAATGTTGACATGAAATTTTTTATTATAACGTTGTACTTTCAAAATTACTTTATTATAACATTACTAATTTCTATTACAATATTAATGTATTATACTTTTAATTTTAATATTTTATCTTTTAAACATTGTAAATTTAATCAAATATGTTTATTAAAAATTATAATATCAAAAAATAAACATGTTTACAAAAGATCAGCATTTCACTAATAAAAATATTCATAAAAAACCACTCGTTTATGGAGTTAATCGTAAATTTCATTACTTATTTTGTAATGCCAAAAACTAAACAAATCAAACATCTTTAAAAAAAACCCCATCCTTCACATTTGTCTACCAATGATATTTAATCAAGTGGAATCGACTTGTCACAACTACTATCTTATCCATCTTTCTCAACAATATTTTTCCATAGGTCGTTCAAAGTCATCCTTTCACTTGGCCTCCTTTTTTGGGGATAAACTTTGGTCGTGATTCCACTTGAGATGGTTCTTGTTTAAATTAGTGAACAAATTAATATGCAATTTATATATAAAATTAGTATGAAACTCGAAGATTTCACATTACCTTTTAAACACCTCTTTGTGAACCCATTCCGCCTCGTCTACCCAATACTATAACGGATAAAATTTTGAAAGTACGATGCCCTAATGAGAAATATTTTGAAAGGATATTACTGTAATAAGAAAAACTGAAAATACAATGTTATAATAAAGAAATTTGTAAAAGTTGGTTGTTATTTCGCACATTAGCCATGTCATTTTAAGTCTGACATGTCAACAAAGAAAAACCTATTCAAAAAGTAACAGGTTACCTAATGACTAATGTTATAAAGAGTAAAATTTTGAAAGTACAATGCCCTAATAAAAAATATTTTGAAAGTATATTAGGAAATTTATAAATTTAGTTTGCTATTTTGTACATTTTACAATAAAATAATATAAAATATAGCGTTAATGGTTAAAGAGGTCTACTATAGTCTTTAATTAAGTTGTTTAGTAAAAATAAAAAAAATGTTTTTCATAATTTTTTTCTTCCAAAATAATAAAATGAAAACTAAAAATTAAAAATCGAAATCATGTTTACTTTTCCTAATCGATTTCTATTCTTAGAAAATGTGAACACAAACATAAAAACAATATTTAATTTATAAGAATCAATATTTTAATTTTTTAATTATTCCACGAATATCTTAAATTGAGATAAAAATAGATATAAACGATTTTTGGACTCAAACAAGAATGCTCTTTTTTTTTCCCAGAGGTATTATCGTCCTTTTTGTTGTCTATGAGACATCCAAAACTAAAATTAAGGGGTTGTTTTGTTTACTTTTTAATAGTTTTTTTAAAAAATAATTTTTGAACCGTTAAGAGGTTAATCTTGTTTGACAAAAAAAATCTGATTCTTAATCATTCTAAAACCCACTAAATAATTTTGTATCATGGATCTCCCTTAACCATTAAGAGTCCTAATTTCATTGTACACAATTACCATACAATCATATTTCATTTTACACTATATCATGAGAGACTCTTAATCATTTTGTATCAAACCATTCAATAATTGTCAAACAACCCCTAAATCAAAATCATTTTATTACAATTTTATATCTACCATGCATTGCAAAAAATATCAAAATAAATGAATTTATCGCAAAAAAAAAAAATACATAAATTGTTTTGATGAATTTTTTAATGATTTATTTTGTTATAAAAAATAATTATTTTATTATAATTTAATAAATTAGATATATTAATCAAAATATATAAACAACACATTAGGATTAAATTGATCATTTTATTTATTCAGTTCCGTCTTACCAAATTGTTCTGTCCTTACTTGTCATATTTTGTCTTATCCTGTCTGAACACCAAACAGATGTATATAAAACATGGATCTCACATACAATACCAACTAATTGTTGTGTATTTAAATTTATGTTCATTGTGAACCCGTTTCTTGTTTATTGCTTTGCTTATGATTTTTGTAACTTTTATTTTCATATTACGATTATGGTTTTGGTCGTATTCAAGAAACCTATATATAATTTGAATGATGTTCAACATTTCAATATCGATAATTTCACACTTCCATAGTTCCAAGTTCCAACCATGGTCGACCTCTATGGCTACTTGATCCTCTTTCTCGTTTCCTTTATTTCCATTCGATTCATCCTCATCCAATCGTTCTCTTCATCTTTCCGGTGCAAATTCCGGCTTCCGCCCAGCCCTTTTGCCCTTCCGGTCATCGGTCACCTCCACCTCCTTGCTCCAATCCCTCACCAAGCTTTACACAAACTCTCCACTCAATACGGGTCGGTTTTCCGCTTCTTCCTTGGATCCGTACCTTGTGTCGCTGTTTCTTCACCAGAAATGGCGAAAGAATTCCTTAAAACATACGAAGCTTCGTATTTAGACCGACCCAGAAACAGCTCCACCGTTTACTTGACCTACGGATCGAAAGACTTCATGTTTGCTCCTTATGGTTCTTACTGGAAACTTATGAAGAAACTGGTTATGTCTGAGCTATTAAACGGTAAAACACTCGACTTACTCCTTCCGGTTCGGCATGACGAGATTAACCAGTTGGTTAAGTCACTATCGAAGAAAGCTAAACTTGGAAAGCCTATGGATCTTAAAGGCGAGCTTCTGAAGTTGACAAATAATATGATTTCAAGAATGCTAATGAGCAAAAGGTGTTCGGAGGTGGAGAGTGAAGCAGACGATATAAGGAAGCTGGTTACTGAGATATCGGAGATCACGGGTACATTTAATCTCGCAGATTACATATGGTTCTGTAAGAATCTTGATTTACAAGGAATTGGAAAACGGGTAAAGGGGATACACCGGCAATTCGATGTTTTGGTGGAAAAGATCATCAAGGAGCATGAAGATGAAAGGAGGAAGAAGGACACGGATGAAACGAAGGACGTCCTTGACATGTTACTCAACATTTCAGAAGATGATACCATGGAGATGAAGTTGACGAGAGACAACATCAAAGCCTTTCTTCTGGTAATTTCATGTGATCATTTTCGTTTAAATCGATCTCTAGAACAAGTCCGAGTCAAATAGCAATGATTTGAAAGCCTTTTTTTGAATGTTTTCAACCTAATTGTTTTTGGTTAAAGAACTTATTTGTGGCAGGGACAGATACATCTGCACTTACTATAGAATGGAGTTTAGCAGAACTAATCAACCATCCCGAAATAATGAAGAAAGCGGTGGAAGAGATCGATCGAGTGGTTGGAAATACGAGACTTTTAGAAGAATCAGACATACCAAACCTTCCATACCTTCAAGCAATAGTGAAGGAAACCCTAAGGCTACACCCCACAGCTCCAATGATCCCAAGAACTTCAACAGAAGATTGCATAGTGGGAGGCTACCATATTCCTGCAGAAACTACTGTTTTTGTGAATGTTTGGGCCCTTGGGAGGGACCCAAAGAGTTGGGACGATCCACTGCTGTTCAGTCCTGAAAGGTTCGAAAAGAATCAAGTGGATGTTAGAGGACAACACTTTCAGATGCTGCCGTTTGGGAGTGGGAGACGAATGTGTCCTGGGACGTCGCTAGCAATGCAAGTCGCACAAGTGACGTTGGGTGTGATGGTTCAGTGCTTCGAGTGGAGAGTTGGAGAAGAAGGTAGGGTTGATATGAAAGAAGGACCTGGGATCACACTTCCTAGGGCTAACCCTTTGGTGTGTGTTCCTGTGGTTAGGTTTGATCTTGATTCAGTGATTCCAGTAACTTCAATGTGATATATTCCCGACCAGTTTGAAATTCCATGTCGATAGTACCGGTTATATGGTTTTTTTGTACTATATGTTAACGGTCCAAACTGCGTACATCTGACCATGTGGTCCTTACTTTCGGGTGTTATATACTGGGTTTGTTTAGTTTGATTTAGCATTTGCAATTTGACAAATGCTGTTGGTTTATTGTTTTTGGTTAGTAATGTTTTCTTGATTGGATCTTATCACAAACAAAATGGAGGTCGGCCATGTTGGCTGGTTAAGAATCTCATCAGCATACTTGTTTAGCGGTTCAAAAATGTTTGCCAGCACAAACCACATAACCTATTCGAACCGCATCAAACAAAGCAGTTTAGAACTTTTGCTGTTATTATTTTTATGGTTAAATGTATGAAATAATAATTTATTTTTATAAATTTTTTTATTATAGCATTTTACTTTTGTTTTTCTTTATTACAACAATGTACTTTCAAATTATTTTTTATTAAGGTATCACACTTTAAAAAATCTACCCATTATAACAATAGGTAACCTATTACCTTTTAAAACGGTTAACTTTTTGACTTTTTTTTACTTGTGTGGTTTTAATGATGTGATGTGGATGACACATCATTTTCATGACATAATTAAAATAAAAATAAAAACCTATTTCAAATTATTATTAGTGATTTTCATTTTTCATCGCTATGATTTAAAAAACATTTAATTTTTTTGACTTTTTCTTGTTAGTTGCATGTAAATTAAATATTTTAGAGTAAAATATTTCTTAAATAAATATGCTACATTATTTTCGAGATATATTTTGTTTGTAAAAAAGGTAACACTTCTTATTTTATGTTGTTAAAAAAAATACATATTTTTTAAAGTTCTCTCTAAAATGTTAACGGATTAAATTGTGTTCTACAGTTTTTTTAATATCTATACTATATTATAAAGCATTTGATAAAAACTCTTAAAAACAATTTTTTATACATGAAATACTGTTTATTGATGTATATTACTTAAAATTCAAGATTACAAGTTGATTGTGCGTAAGTACAACTTATTAAAGCTTTATGTTTGAATTCGTATAACTAAATGCAGATAAACATAATCAAATACATGATAAACATCATTTTAAATATAAAAAATCTAAAATATTATTAAGATAAACATTGAGTTTTAACAGAATACTTAATTATTATCTTAAAAAATTATTTTATTAAACCAAAAATAAATTAGTTTGTTTTCAAAATTCAATTAAATTATAATAAAAAATCGAAATAAAGAAATTACACAAGAAAGAGAACTTTTAAATAATTAATTTGATACTAATATCGCTTATTTTTATCAAAATTTTATGATATCTTAAAATTTATATTTCATTCAAGAATAAAAATATTTTATTTTTTCAAAACCACATAAAATCGCATTATAACATTGATAGACCCAAAATATAAAAGGAAACATTAAAATCAAGATGTATCTCACTGCATTGCGCGAGTATCATTTTAGTTGTTTTATTAATAAATAATTAAAAAAATCTAATTAATTTAATATATTTATACGTCAAGTAAAAGTTATTGAACAAATACAATATATTCTTTAAAAGATAATATTTGTTTGGTAATAAAAGAACAATTCTTATTTTCTTTTTTCAAAAAACATAATTTTTTTAAATATTAGCAAAATAAGTTGTCTTCTACTAGTTTTATTAATATTGGTATATTAATGAATAATTTAATTTTTTATTCATTTAATATAATTATTAAATAACATGTAAAATATCTAAATATTAAAATTAAAAGTACATTGTTTAATAAGAACTAGTAGATGCTATAATAAAATAATTTTGAAAATACAATGTTGTAATAAGAAAGTCACATCACTGTAGTACATGTAGACAACCTACATGGACAATGAGGTGGCATGAGAACCAGATATAATGGGTAAATTTAAATCAAAAGGTTACCCAATGCTATAACGAATAAAATTTTCAAAGTACAATGTTAAATAAAAAATAGTTTGAAAGTACATTGTTGTAATAAGAAAAATTGGAAGTACAATATTATAATAAAGAAATTTATGAAATTAGATTGTTATTTTGTGTATTTTGCCCTTATTTTTATTACAAGACTATGTGGTTTAGTATAGATAGGGGGGGGGGGGGGGGAGGGTTTCAACGCAGGGACGGACCTAGAACTTTTTTAAATGGTGACACTATTTGACTATAAGAAACAAATATAAGATATTTTTCATAAAATCATCGTTGGTCTGTTGTGATATGTGAAGCCTTGTGTTAAAATCTTTTATTGCAATTTTTTTCTCCATAAACATTAAAGATTCGAAATTAATAGTTAAAAACTAAGAAACACCACTAACAAGATTCGAACTCGAGTATGAAATGGAAAAAAAACCTTGCAAACCAACTCTACCAAAAAAATCTTTTGTTATCATTATAGTTTTATAATATATATGTGACACACAACAAATTAATACGGTGACACTTTTCATGACCCTAGAATTTTTACATTACAACGGATGAATAATACGGTGGCACGGAGTCACCGTATGCTCTACATTGGGTCCGTCCATGGTTCAATGGAAAACCTCAAAATATGAAACATTGAGGAACATTCTGATAATCATTCACTTGATAATTGAAATTGTTTTTTTGGTTTTTATGCACATACATATGTTATGCAAATGTGTATACCGTCTAGATGAACGGTTGTCATGATGTTCCTCAATTTTTTATTTTTTGAGATTTTCCCAGAACTTGACCCTATATATTTTTATGAGTGAATGATTATATATTCAGTATTAATAGCCCATGGTAAAGCATTGACGATATTTTGAATATTGTCGAGACTCAGGGAGTTTGATGAAGGATGAAAGTCAATTTGTTTTGGCGTTGTGTTTTCGAAAACCTTATGAAGGAAAAGATATAAAAGGGGAAGGGGAAAAAAGTGTTTTGAAACTCTTTTAGGAGAGAAAAAAATAAGGAAACAAATGAAAAACAATGATAAATTTTCTCCTAAACGTGAAAAAATAGGAAAAGAAATGGAAGAAATTAAAACCTTTTATTAAAATTACAAAAGTACATAACCTTTCATTTTGAAGGAAATTATCTATAAAAAATTAACCATAAGGATGATACCTGATTGGTTTGAGCTTGACTCCAAAGGTCAAAAGTACCAAGAGGTCTCAGGTTCAAATCAAAGAAGGAATAAAAATCCCCTTGTGGCTACGAAGATTCAAATACGGTGACTCTGAGCTATCTGCAAAACATGTGGTTTGAGCTTGGCTCCAAAGATCAAAAGTACCAGGAGGTCCCAGGTTCAAATCAAAGAAGAAATAAAAATCCCCTTGTGGCTACGAAGATTCAAATACGGTGACATTTTTTTTTTCTTTTCCCTCTTGTTCAATAACATTATTTTTTATTTCCTTTCTTTCATTTTCCATTCTAACCTGAAAACACAAATAAAAAAATTCATTTCATTCCATTTTTTAATTTTTTTTTCTCCTCCAAATTCAAGAAAAGAGTTAAAAAGGCCTTATCATGGAACATTAGTTTGATGATCCGTGGGCTGCCTTGGAGATAACTGATTTGGTACAAGGGTAAGGGTTCGACCGGTTGGCCATGGTCTGAACTCTACGGTCCGAGCAGGATGAATGCATATCATATGGTCTTGGTAACTGTATCATCAATGATGGTTAAGACTTCAAAGATAAGATTTGGGTTGACTTGAAAGCAAGAATAAAGAAATAAGAAACCATGAAATCGATGGAGACAGTGGGTTGTAAAAATGCCTTATCCACCCTGTCACCATATACTACCCTTCTCCCCACCCACAGTTTTGGTCTTTCTCCCATCGGTTTCTCCAACCAATATTCAGTCATAAACTATTTCTTCTATTGTTGCTAAATACTACTCGCTTACTCAACCACTTGATCATTTGGGGTTTATCGCCTTCTTTAACCCATCGAAACCGTTTATTCCATTCAACCAAGATCCTAGTTTACGGTTTCAGTCTAATTTCTCATTTGGGTTGCTTTCAAATTGACGTAGTTTGATCACACACCCAATCTTTTGGTGAATGCGAGGATTTGAAATCGTCTTGGTTTGATTTGAGATTGAGGTGTATCGATTAATAATCCAATCTTTTGGTCGATAAAAGTGATCTGCTTTGTGGGTCTGTATCCAATTTGTAGTAAATTCACAGTCAAAATTTGTCAAATTGTCTAGGGTTTTCTGGTTTGATTTCAAGTTTTGAGTATGGTGGCTATAAAGCTTGGGATGCTTCACTATGTTTTGGACCATGTGTATGGTGCCTTCATGCACAGAACAATGCTAAGCCCACTGTTCTTTTCAAGAGGATGGGGTGGTACACAGCTTGATCTTTTAGAGAAAATGATTAAACAGATTTTCCCAGTAGTTGGAGGCCAGAATTTGCCCCCAAGATTGATTCAACCCATTTGGAGAACAGTTTGGGAAACCAAAAGTGCTTGTTTGAAAGAAGGAGTTTTCAAGACTCCATGTGATGAACAGCTTATTAATGCATTACCTCCTGAGAGTCACATTGCAAGAGTTGCTTTCCTTGCCCCAAAATTTGTGCCATCCCACAAAATGGCTTGTGTTGTTCATCTTGCAGGTATAACAACAAACTTAAATTTACTATTCTGGATTTGACTTTCTAAATCTAGATTGTGTTTAAACTTTTATTGTGGTTTTGTTACTAGTGAGAGTGCATGACTCTGTTGTTTGTATGATGATGCAAGTATTCAAAGTGCACCTGTTTACTCTTAAGTGAAATATAGTTTGAGAATCTTCCAAAATACACACATTTTTGTTTAATCTGAATGGTTGTTGCTTAAAATAGTTACCCTAGTAGTCAGGGCTTTCATACATATCTGCTAATCTATCATCAAAATCAATGGAAGATTGTCTCTCTGAAATTAATGTTCATGAGGTTGTGTCATCAAGGCATTTTATACTAAATGAATACAATTCGGTTAATAATCTTCAATAAGTTGTTGGTAACTCAATGGGAGAGAGCTATTGTTGAACTAGATGGACAAAGATAGAGTTCTAAGTGAATTGAAGAAGAGAAGAAGAGGGAGAGAGAATTGTATTGCAACAAGTAAATGAAAGAGAGGGTTACATTGTTCATATATAGAAAGCTAAAACAAACTAAAAGAAAAACCAATCTATGAACCTTAACCAACTCCAACCATGGTTGGAAACATATGTAGACATTGTGCCTTCATACTATATCTCTGAAGACTTAGAAATTAAAGAAGAACCCTAAACCAAATGAACCCAATATATCTCACTGGAAAGTAGGGTCTTTGAAGAACCCATAAAGGCAATATCCTCTTAACTTATCTTCAAAGATTGAGTCACCTTTCAAGCTACAAGGGATGGAGGAACTTTTTAAGAGAAGAATTCCTTGACCTGGAGTAGCCTTTTAGTAGCTTAAGGCTCTAGCTAAATCTTAAAATCGATAAGTTGTAGAAGCTGCCATATATAGGCTGCAAGTGTAAGTTGTGAAGACCAAATTTATCTTCTTATGTGCATATGGTCACTCGTGAGTTTTCCGACTAATCTTTTGGATAAGGGCTCTAGGATCAAACAACATGTTGATTCACATTCATATGGTTTGACATTCAAATCAAGAGGGATAGTGAGAAGACCGACATCTAAACATGCTTCTTTCAAAAAGGTCTGTAGCATACTGTCTTTAGATGAGCTGGAGGCTATTTCAAGTCCTTAGAGTAAGAACTTTAAGAGTCCTTATATGGAATGAGGTGCACTTCATCTTATTGAAAAGCTTTGTAAATGATGATCCTGGATAAATCTTGAATTTTTGAAACCTTACTCTCGAACCCTCATTACCTAAGAGTCCAAATACAGAGCAAGGTTTAAGATCAAAGAAAACCAAAACAAACACATGAAAGATCGGAAGAAGAACATAGAAATCTATGTGTTATGGACTTCAAAGGGATAAACGAAAACACAACAGTCTGATTTTTTCTGTGCAGAAAATTACAGTAATAAAAACTCAAACAAGAAGACACAGGTTAGTGCAGAAGATTGAAGGAGAAATCAAAACAAGATCAAAAGTTTTTTCGATGACTACAATAAAACTCTTTGGCATCGAATTTTCCGTAAAACAGGAAGAAAAAGATGTGGAAGAGGAGGTGGCAATATTGAAGCAGGAACAAAACATCTAAAGATGAAACTCGAAACCCTACAGGCTACATGTGAAAATTAGATAAAAGATAATGAGAGGCTGAAGAAACAAATTCCAGGAGATGTTAAGAAAGGGGCCTGGAGTAAAGAAGAAGATGATATTTTAATGGAACATATACAAGAAAATGGTCCAAAGAACTGGAATCTCCTTCTTTCCAATGGACTTCTCAAACAGACGGCAAAATCGTGTAGCCTTCGATGGTTGAACAAATTTCAACCCAATCTCAAGAAATGTGTGTTTTCTGAAAAGGAAAAACAATTGGTGTTTGATTTGCAAAGTAAGTATGGGAACGATTGGGCAAAAATTGCCATTTATTTGCCTGGAAGATCTGTGTATCATGTCAAGAACTTATGGTATAATCATCAAAAGAGTATGACCCGGTTTAACAAGGGTAAAGAAAAATGTTTGAAGGTTGGCTCAAGACCAGATGAAAAGATTACGGAAATAAATTTTAAGATTGATTGTATTGTCTGCGATAGACCTACCACACGAAAAGAATCTGGATGTTTCTTTTGTGTTGATGATGAATGTGTTAAGATGGATGATATGTGTAAATTTGACAGCAAAAATGGGCAAGTTGGTGGCTGTGGACGATACTCTCCTAGCAGTTGAAAATCTATGATGATGTCAAGGTTAGAGGCTTCAAGAAGATGAAGTCTAAGGGGCTGTTCGGTAATGGCTTAATGGGTTGTTAAGCCTGTATGGCTTATTCGGTCAGCCATACATTGTTGTTCGTTTATGACTTGTTCAGTCAGCTGAGGCTTAACCAGTCAGCTAGAAAAGCAGAGTCCTATGGACTCGACCACTTTTTCATACCTTTATTCCAAGTTTGCCCTTTCACATTTCTAGAACCCCAAATGCCCAGCTTCTCTCATTTCCATCTATCCATACTCTCAATATCAATTCTTTCCTTCGTCCTGTTTGCTCCTCTGGTCCCTCTATCTCCATAGATTTGCACTCTCTCTATTCTCCTTGCCGGAGAGCCAAATCTGCCAGTAGTTAACCATATCAGCAATTTAACATGCAAATAACAGAAACAGACTTAAGACCAACACAACCAGATCAAGAGCTACTGTTGTTTGATAACTCGAAAACATAAAAATTATGTCCCAAAATGAGAGCTGTGGATAGAAACCATATCGTCACTTTCATCCAAATTTTCCTATTAGGTTTCTCTTTTTTCGCAATGGAGTAATGGTACATCGGAAGCGAGTATTCAGACAGTAGAAAAGTTAACAAAACCATCAGATTGAAAACCGCAAGTGAATAATCGTTGCGGCAATACGAAACGATGAACGAATAGACGGTGACAAGGAACAATTGTAGGACACTAAATGGAAACAAAATCTGCTGATGTTCGTCTTTGATTTCTGGAGGATTTACATTGATCTTCTTACGATTAGGCACTTCGACTTCCATTTTGATTGCAGATGATCCTCCTCTTCAACTTGTCCTCGATAATATAATACATGAAGTTCAACAATCAGAACTTCTGGAACCTTCCATCAAGTTTCACTTTTGGACCATTTGGTAATTTCTGTAGTTACCGCTAACAACTTTTGTTCTTTGCTGCCAAAAATACCAATGTTATTTGTTCAGGGGTAAAATGGTCATTTCAGCCATTAAGACTGCATATTCAGCAAAACAACCGAACAACAATTTATGTTATGTTATACAGGCAACTATATCAATACAGACAACTTTATACATACATGTCTTAATGGAAAGTGAACCGAACAACCCCTAAGTCTAAAGTCCTAATCGATGCTGTTCATATCTAGCTTAAGAGGGAGTGTTGAAAGTTAAGCTAGATATCAGTTATGGTAGTTATGATCATTTATGTTATTTGGCAGCTATAAAAATATTGAATCGTTGCCTTTCTTTGAAGGGGTACAACGGTTCTATTTGCTGTATATATATATAGGTGTGTAAATGATGTAATTATTTTGTTGTGATAATAGAATTTGTTCTCGTGTATATATATATTTATATATATATATATATCATCACAACGATCCCATATATATATATATATATATATATATATCCTGTGTTCTTTATTGTTTTGCTGGTTATCTCCAACATAGTGTTATCAGAGCAAGGTTTAAGATCAAAGAAAACCAAAACAAACACAGGAAAGATTGGAAGAAGAACATAGAAATCTATGTGTTATGGACTTCAAAGGGATAAACGAGGTACACAACAATCTATGATTTTTTCCGTGCAGAAAACTCAAGGAAAACACTAACAGAAACTCAAACAAGAAGACACAAGTCTGTGCAGAAGATTCAAGGAGAAATGTAAACAAGATCAAAAGTTTTTCCAATGGTCACAATAAAACTCTTTGGCATCGAATTTTCCGTAAAAAAGGAAGAAAATGATGTGGAAGAGGAGGTGACAATATTGAAGGAGGAACAAAAGCATCTAAAGATGAAACTCGAAACCCTATAAGCTACATGTGAAAATCAGATAAAAGAGAATGAGAGGCTGAAGAAACAAATTCCAGGAGATGTTAAGAAAGATTAAGAAAGGGGCCTGAAGTAAAGAAGAAGATGATCTTTTAATGGAACATATACAAGGAAATGGTCCAAAGAAATGAAATCTTCTTCTTTCCAATGGACTTCTCAAACGGACGGCAAAATCGTGTAGCCTTTGGTGGTTGAACAAATTTCAACCCAATCTCAAGAAAGGTATGTTTTTTGAAAAGGAAAAACAATTGGTGTTTGAAGGGGTACAACGGTTCTATTTGCTGTAGTATATATATAGGTGTGCAACTGATGTAATTACATCAGTTGCACACCTATATATAAATTACATCAGTTGCACACCTATATATATACTACAACAAATAGAACTGTTGTACCCCTTCAAAGAAAGACAACGATTCAATATTTTTGTAACTGCCAAATAACATAACTGATCGTAAGTACCATAAATGATATCTAGCTTGACTTTCAACACTCCTCCTTAAGCTAGATATGAACAACATGGATTAGGACTTAGACTTCATTTTCTTGAAGCCTCTAACCTTGACATCATCATAGATTTTCAACTGCTATGGAGAGTATCGTCCACAGCCACCAAATTGACCATTTTTGCTGTTAAATTGACACACATCATCCATCTTAACACATTCATCATCAACACAAAGGAAATATCCATATTCTTTTTGTCTGGTAGGTTTATCGCAAACAATACAATCAATCTTAAAATATCTTTCCAGAATCTTTTCATCTGGTCTTGAACCAACCTTCAAACATTTCTTTTTACCCTTGTTAAACCGGGCTATACTCTTTTGATGATTATATCATACGTTCTTGACATGATACACAAATCTTCCAAGCAAATAAGTGGCAATTTTTGCCCAATTGTTCCCATACTTACTTTGCAAATCAAACACCAATCGTTTTTCCTTTTCAGAAAACATAGCTTTCTTGAGATTGGGTTGAAATTTGTTCACCATTGAAGGCTACACGATTTTGCCGTCCGTTTGGGAAGTCCATTGGAAAGAATGAGATTCCAGTTCTTTGGACCATTTTCTTGTATATGTTCCATCAAAAGATCATCTTCTTCTTTACTCCAGGCCCCTTAATCTCCTGGAATTTGTTTCTTCAGCCTCTCATTCTCTTTTATCTGATTTTCACATGTAGCCGGTAGGGTCTCGAGTTTCATCTTTAGATGCTTTTGTTCCTCCTTCAATATTACCACCTCCTCTTCCACATCTTTTTCTTCGTTCTTTACGGAAAATTCGATGCCAAAGAGTTTTATTGTAACCATCGAAAAAACTTCTGATCTTGTTTTGATTTCTCCTTGAATCTTCTGCACAGACCTGTGTCTTCTTGTTTGAGTTTCTGTTAGTGTTTTCCTTGAGTTTTCTGCATAGAAAAAAATCAGAGACTGCTGTGTTCTTCGTTTATCCCTTCGAAGTACATAGCACATAGATTTCTATGTTCTTCGTTCTTCCAATCTCTATGTTTGTTTTGGTTTTCTTTGATCTTAAACCTTTGCTCTAATACCACTATGTTGGAGATAACCAGAAAAACAATATAGAACACAAGATATATATATAGATATATAGGATAGTTGTGATCATATATATATACACGAAAACAAATTTTATTATCACAATAATTACATCAGTTACACACCTATATATATACAACAAATAGAACCGTTGTACCCCTTCAAAGAAAGACAACGATTCAATATTTTTGTAACTGCCAAATAACATAACTGATCATAACTGCCATAAATGATATCTAGCTTAACTTTCAACAATATTGTTTAATGTAATTATTGTCGATTATGCCAATATCTTTGAGCTTATGTATGACCGTATAGTTGTAAGTTGCCTTTTCAAATGCAGTGAAAGAGCTTGTTTTCTGATATATGTGGGATAATCCTTTTTTTGGAAAGAGGGAAGCACCTCTGGCAAAAGCTATAGCAGGAAAGAAGAAAAGATACACCCAAATGGCCCTGTAACAGAAGGAGGGATATATGTGGGATAATTTTGATGTTAAAAGAAAACCTCCTTGTTGTGGTGATTACACTAAGAATTCCATACTGGTGTTGAGAATCCAGCACAGCAAAAAAAGTACAGTTTGGCTGCATTAGAACCCATTGCAGCTGATTTCTTATGTATCTTAACAATCATTATAACTAGTATATGGAGAGAAGCAAACATTGTTCCTGATCTGTCTTTGCTATATGAGGTAATGAGATCTTGGAAATGACTGAATATTCGCATGATAAGTTACAGAATAAATCATGTATTCTACACGATATCAAGGCCAGACTGAACTTCTAATCTGTCAGTTGTGGACCACAAACCTTTAGGATTGCTACCTTTCCCTTTTGAACTTAACTGTTCATTCTCAGGAATTTAGAGTTCTTTTAGCATGATTTTGTTAATTGTTAGCTGTGTTTTGATTGGACTCAGTTAGATGTCTGTAACAGGATCCTATTAATTCTTTGTTGAATTAACTTTAATTCCCCTAGGTAGGCCTGAAAAATGTTAGTATCAACCTTATACCTACAGCCAATTAGAAAAGCACATTGAGAAAATTTGTCAATACTAGGCACCAATGCAGTATATGAGTGTAGTTCTGTGTTATAAACAGTTCAAAATATTTCTGTTTGCTTTTGATGTTGGCGCTCGATAACTGAAGCATTTTCTGTAGCATTAATCTGATTGACCATTTGTTGTAGGCTTTTTTTCTTCTTCTTCGAATTTGGGTCTCAAATGTCACTTGGCAACCAGTTTTCGAAGTCCCATTTTGAATCAGTGCTCCAGATTCCCTTTGTCCTATGTCTTTTTACCTCAGTTCTTGTGTGGCTATTATGTTGAGATCTCTTGTTTCAGCCTTTTTGACATTTTTCGGTGGTGAAATTTATTATATTTCAGGTACCGGGGACCATAGTTTTGAGCGAAGATTGCGTCTTGGTGGGCCACTTTTGAAGGAAAATATAGCAACCATGGTTCTTGAGAGGTAATAACCAATCCCGTGATCGATTCTGCTGCATGCGTACTATCTTTCATTCTTTTTAAAACCATGCAGCCCTTTTTATGGACAAAGGCGCCCATTGCTGCAGACTGGTTCAAAATTGTTATGTGTGAGTGATTTGCTGTTATTAGGAAGAGCTACCATTGAAGAAGCACGCAGTCTTCTACATTGGTTAGATTCTGAAGCAGGTTACGGGAAAATGGGGGTTTGTGGTCTAAGCATGGGTAACTTTTTAACTCTTAAGCCTACACTTTGGTCACCTTTGTCTCACTGGTCTTGCTTTCCAGCCAAAAACTAACATTTCTTGACACATTCACACTTTTTTACCATTAACATAACACTATTTCAATCTTTATTCCTTATCTGCTTGCTTACACTCTTGCTTAAACTGTGGGTCTTCACGGAAACAACCGCTCTAACCTTTTTGGGTAGAGGTCAGACGTCTCACCCCCAAGACCCTACATTCGAGTGGAATTTACTGAGTCACTTTGGTTTGGTTTATTTTTGAAGGGTACGCAAGTCAAGTTACTTTTGGTTTCTACTGAAAGTAGGGCAAAACATGATTAAAAAAATGAGGTTTGGTAAAATATTTTTGGGGTCCTCTGGATATATGTCCTGAGTTTTCAATTAGGAGCATGCCCTTCTAAATTTTTAGCTCAATCACCTGGGTTCAAAACAACGTGCTCTCATAAAACCTTAGACATAGAGGGTTAGATTTTTAAATGCAGTTTTTGAGAAAGTCATTCAGCTAAACACCCAATGTTCTTTTTGACACTGCTACATATATTTTGCCAAGATTTTGAAGGTTTGATTCGATTTATGTGGTTAGGTGGAGTACATGCTGCAATGGTTGGATCTTTACACCCTACACCGATTGCTACATTCCCATTTCTGTCTCCACACTCGGCTGTTGTGGCATTCTGCGAAGGGGTATTGAAGCATGCGACTGCATGGGAGGCACTGAGACAGGATCTTTCGGCCGCCATGACACTTGATGAAGTCCGAGAGCGTATGCGACAGGTGTTGTCTCTCACAGACGTCACACGCTTTCCCATCCCTAAAAACCCCAATGCTGTTATTCTTGTTGCTGCTACTGTAAGTGCTTACGGTGTTTAGACCATCTCCAACAAAGTCTATAATTTCTCCAAACATGTAGAAGCAAAATTCAAATCTCCAAAAAAAAGTTAAATTCAACTCCAACAAGGATCCGTTGGAGAAAAAAAAGATTAAAAACTCCAAAATCTTTAAAGATCTCCGTTTTTGAGAATCTGTTGGAGAGGCTATTGATCAATATAAAACAAGCCCTTTAATTTGTATCTCAAAAACATTTTTAATGCTTGATCACAAAGAAATTTCCATTAGTAGTCAAACCATGCATATATATATATATATATATATGTATATTTAGCATATGATACTTTTAAAAGGTGTACTGAGTTTGTTTTGGTTTTTATCTGAGTTGATATTTTGGGGTTTGATGTTTAATAGGACGATGGATACATCCCTAAACACTCGGTGTTGGAGGTCCAAAGAGCTTGGCCTGGATCAGAAGTGAGATGGGTAACGGGTGGCCACGTCTCATCCTTCATTCTCCACAACAATGAATTCCGTAGAGCCATTGTCGACGGGCTCAACAGATTACAGTGGAAGGAGTCCCCGTTATGACCATAAATCATAAGGTTAGAGGAAACATCTGCATATATATTTACTAGATTTGTTTCCAATTTCTCCTGTACATCTTCTGCTGGTTTCCCCTTTCTCCTTGTTACAAATGCTGACATCACAATGTTTCTGTGGTGGATTTGATTTAATTTAATTGATTTTAGCGCCATTTTTCATATATTTTTATTGGGAAATAAGACTTATAAAAAGGGGTTTCCATGGTTAAAAATTCACCCAAAAATGAAGACCTCATTCTTCACCATTGCTATTGCCATTCTCACCCTCTTCCTCTCCCTTTCTCTCTCCCAACGTTGCAACCTAAAAGACGAAAAAACCCTTCTCAAAATCAAGAAATCCCTCGGAAATCCCTACCAATTGGCCTCTTGGAACGGAGACTCCGACTGTTGTAGATGGTATTATGTACAATGCGATCTCTACAACGACCGGATCACCGCCCTCACCATCTTCTCCGGCAACATCTCTGGCCGAATCCCTGACGCCCTCGGCAGCCTCTCTTTTCTCGAGACTTTAATCTTCCGTAAACTCAGTAACCTCACCGGTCAAATACCCTTCACAATTACCAAACTCACCCGCCTCAAAAATCTTACGGTCAGCTGGACCAATCTCTCCGGTCCCATCCCTTCCTTCCTTAGCCAACTCAAGAACTTAACATTGCTCGATTTGTCGTTCAATAATTTCAGTGGTGCTATCCCGCCGGAGCTGGCTACACTACCAAAGCTCCAAACTCTTCACCTGGACAGAAATAAATTAACCGGCTCCATCCCGGAATCATTTGGGACGTTCACCGGAAAAGGTCCAGCCGTTTACCTGTCTCATAACCTGCTGAACGGAACCGTACCCAAGTCACTGGGTCGAGTCAACTTCACATGGCTAGACTTGTCCAGAAACAGTCTACAGGGAGACTTAACGGTGTTTTTTGGGACTAACAAAACCATTAAAGCAGCTGACTTTTCAAGGAACATGTTCGAGTTTAACTTCTCGAAGATAATTCAGTTTCCGGCGAGCTTGTCTGCATTGGATTTGAATCATAATAGGATATATGGGAGTTTGCCGGAAACATTGACGGGACTGAATTTGCAGAAGTGGAACGTGAGTTACAATAGACTGTGTGGTCAAATTCCGGCCGGTGGCAATTTGCAGAAATATGATAACACGGCTTATTTTCATAACCGGTGCTTGTGTGGGTCTCCATTGCCGGCATGCTACTAAAATAAAGAAAATCTTCAAGACTTTGGACCTTTTTTCCTTCTTTTTGTAGTATTAAAGTGGGTTAATCAACCACTTTTGCCTCGATTCTTATTTTGATAACGATAAATCATGATCGTCAATTGATACACGAAGTTTCCAAAATTCCATCGTAAACAAACATTGAATTGACATTACAAATAAGCATTTGGTTATGATACGAATTTTAGATACTTGATTACATTAATTGGTGATTTTGATTCACCTTCCGCCTAATAAAACATGATTAAAAAAGTTGCCCGCAACTGATTTGTTATCGAGCGATGGAGGACGAAAATATTTTACAAATTTTTAGAGACAATTGATTTAATTTATGGACGTATGTACTTTAACCAGATTTACCATAATCTTTTTATAAGAAAGACATATAAAAATACATTTTTTATATACAAAATTGATGAGTTTACCATGTTATTTATGGAGTGTTGCTATGTGTACCGAAATTAATGTCAAAATCAAGTCAACTGCACCATTTTTAATGTCAGAATTAACCTCCCCATCTGATGTAGTCAACATCATGGTGTGCCTGATTGGCGAGTCTGCCGTCTTCAATCTCAAGTCGCGGTCACATCTCGTCCCCCTGGTATAATGACCGGTTCCGACAAATCCCAACTACAGATATGTATTTTTGCCGGTAGCAGTGAAGTTTCTTATTTTTTTATTTTGGTCACAAATCAATGGTTAGTTTATAATCAAAATTAAAATTCGATATTTTATAAAATCAAAATAAGAACGTTAAGTTCGATGTCGTTCAAAGATTTTTGGTTCTTGGTATATTGCGATCTTCATGCATAATCAATGTTACCGTTACAATATTGTATATTTGGTAACTTTCCAATGTGATATGTCTATATGACTACTATTAACATTTTGTAATGTGTAAGTAGTAACAACGGAGGGTAACAAATGCAATATACGTGAGATTGAAGACTAATTGTGTGATTTACACAAGATTTGTGTGTTTCATCTCCTCAAATGTATGTGTTTAATTGCTTTTCATTCTTTTTCCGTTGTAGCTCGATTTGTCCAAGTGATTATGCCTTGACGACTTCAATACAAGTTTCAGTATTTCTTGCGGAAGCGATAAGTAACATTTTTGCATAAAAATATGACACCGAACTTTGTAATTTCAAGTTATTAAACTTATCTGCGGTATCCACATTCATCAAACAACTATTTAAGGATAAAATGGTCGTCTGTTAACAACAATTTATCTTAATTAATACAGACAATTTAATTTATAGATGGTTTAATGAAAAAAACATACATCACCTTAACAAATACCGACCAACAAACAAACCGTTGAACACGAAAAGCCTCAAGTCCTCTACCTCTTAAATTTCCAGCCAAAACCGCGTAGGAATCGCCCTTTAAACACGGGATCAAAAGTCTCTAGGTTGCTGAACCATTCTGCATTCTTTTTCTTCAAATTTTCAACAATAATCTCTCACAAGAAAACAGCAAAGAACCTAAGTGAAGGTAACATGTCCCCTTGAAACCAGCACCATGGCTGGCATGGCATGGCATGGTCAGACCCATAGTCCCAAGCCAACTCAACACAACTTGCATGTTTTATGAGAAGTAACCAATTGGCCCATCTGCCCAAAGGTGAGGGCTAGAGCAATGACTCCTTCCATAAATGAGCATTTCCAGCAGTGCCGTCAATAAGGGCGTATTTGTTAGAAGCTAATCCAATGCTGGCTCGGCTTGAAGCTCAACTTAAGAGGTTGCGCTTGTTGCTAGCCAAAGCTTGCTCCATTTTTGGCTTCACAGCCTTCACTATCAACCTCAGCCCATATAAGTTCAAAGCGTAGCTTGCTTGATACGAGCTCAAGTAAACCTTCAAAAAAAATTACAAGCATTCTCGTTTAAAATTTACAATAGGACTCATGAGATTAAGACTAGTGGCCCAAACAATATAAATTACATTGTGGCTTGTAAAGAGTTTCCTAATTTAAGCTCGTCTCGTCAAGACCAATCCGTACTAGTATTGTGCGACTCTAATAGTCAAACGGCCTAGTTTAGTTCAGCTTGGCTACCTGATGTGGCCAAAAAGCTCTTCAAAAAACTTTATTGTCGATGCTCTCAACTCTTTTAGGGGCGTTTGGTTTGCTGGATTGTTTTGAGGGATTTAATTGCATGTAAGGATTTGGATTTGAAATTTTTTGTGTGATCGATTTGTATGATTTGGAATGAAATTGAATTCCATTTTTTTTAAACAAATTATAAACCAATTAAATTATCTTTTTATTAATTGATTATTATAAAACAAATGTTTTCAACATATTCTAAAACATTATTACACACAAATCCTTTAAAATCCCAACAAACCCCATGGGATTTCTAAATGCATGTTTATGGTCAGATCCAAAGAGTCCTTCAAATCAAACATGAAATTGGAATGAAATTGAATTCTAAATCCTTTCGAATCTTATCTAATCCTACAAACTAAACATGAGGGGATTTGAAATGCCATAAAAACCTACGGTTGATTGACTTTGATATTTTTGGAAGTAGCGTTTGGAACAACAAATACAAATCTTCAAATAACTAGGTTTTATTTGTTTGCTTGATCATCAAATATTTAATAAAGCCCATCACATACCTGTTGGGTTACAGAAAATAAAACCGTAACCCTACGAACCGGAATAAATCGGGTGTTTCGAAATTATATCTTACAGTTAGAGAGACTTTGAATCTAAGCAACAAACAAGACTTGATGTCTCCATGCAAACAATCTGAATCATTTGCCTTCTCGTGATACTAGTCAGGGTTTCAAATGTCATACATTCTATATTTATGGGATGTATGACCTACAACCACGACCATCCTTACACCTTACTTGAGTGTAAGACTTTCTAAACACCATCCTCTCTTTTTAAGACCATCTCTTGACAACCTACATTATGTCCAACATAAAATAATATCTGATTTTTATTTAATCAGATTAAATCAATACATACCAGATATAATAATTAAACATTTTAATTATTGAAATTCCTTATTCAGATATGTTCAAAGCGTGTGACCCAATGAGTTCTCAACATGTTGGTAATAAATATAAATCTCGTACTTATATTTATAAATGATGAGTGGTATCTAGCAATACATCTTCGCCATCCAAAAAACAAGAATCTGTGATACAACAAATTATCGATTTGTAGTCAATTTTAGTTTACACATTTAATTTTTTGTCCTTGATGTCCAGATTGAACACGAGACATAACGACATCACATTGTAGTCAATGTGATCTCGTTATGTCTAATCTCTAGTTTCTTGATTCCTTAATATACTAATAAAACAGATCGTGATATTTCATATCAATTATCCGAGGATGCATGCATTTCCTTAGTATATATTTATCAAGGGGTCCAGAGACATCACTCCCGTCATAAAGGAGGGACAAATCCTATCTCCATATATACTAGTTCTACCATGTGATATATAAAATACCCAACAATCATTCTGTCACCCAATTATGGAACGATTAAAATAAATGTCAAAATACGTCACTCACACACAACAAACTCCATGTTCTCAAGTTACAGAATTGTATCTACATTGACCACATGAGAAACACTTATAACACTTACATGACATCCGATGCAGTGTTCTCATAGCGAGTCACGTCCGGTACACAAAATCTCCATCTTGTACCCATATATAGATTTAATATCTCTATATGAATCCCTACATACATATATACTAGTTATTATCATATTAGTTCAACCTTAAACCCGAAATAATATTTAATTAAGGACATTTGAAATACATTATTCTAAGGTTATTTATTATGAATAATTAAAACACAGAATATAAGATAAACATAATAAAATAGGACAATGCCTTTGATTTATTTATCAATTTCATGAAACAAAACCCAACATTACAATCATCATATGATTGATTTTTGAGTATTCACTAACTAACGATACCAGCATGGAAGTGAAGATGCTGCTATATAGACAAGTGGAGCACATATTCTCCATTGAATTTGCAAGTGTGAGAGAGAAGAACAGTTGCCAAGAATAAAGGTGAAAGTTGAGTTTATCTCAAGAATCTCTGCATCAACACAAAAAGACATCTAAAATCAGCAATGGCATAAAGAAGAAGAATAAAGATGAAAGAATACTATAAAAGCATCTTTCATCAAACCTTTCTGCTTACCACTGCTTTTGCTTTTCTTTGCACATAACCAGTTTTTCACCTCTTAAAACATTTGATGTAATTTGTTCTACAGATTTAATACCATTTGCAAGACCAAACAGACAATGGGTAGTGTGGAATCTTGTTGTGGCTTTTCAAACAGAATCTAGCACAGCCTAAATACACTTGATCATTAAGTCCAAAAAGCTAATTTTCGTCACAGCTCAGATGAGGCCTAAATACAGACTGTTTACTTGACTCAAATCATTTGGTATCATTAAGCACTTTTCCATTCCATCAATAATCATAGAAAAAATCCCGCCATTTTCTCAACTTCTGTGGAGACTAACGACGAAGAAAGGTATCAACTTACAGTCACGCGTTTAAAGAAAGCAAACAGCTGAAGCACCTTTTTGTAGGTTCTCCTTCCACTACATTTTTAATGATTTCAATGCAAAAACAAGAAAGGGAAAGATTCACTAGTAACAACTACAAAAAATGGTTCACGTAAAATGTTTCAGTTTCTATGGAATGCCAGAGTTTCAGAGCAGCAAAGAAACTGAAAATGCACATAAAACTGGAATTGTGAGGCTCATCTAGAAAGCAGAGGTCAGACTACATTTGTAATCATCGGCTCCACTTCAGATTGCCAAAGAACCAAGAGCTTACTAATCCACTCAAAATTATAGAAGGTTTTACAGCTCAGGTTCAGTAAAAAGGTACTCATCTTTACAGAACGTCTCATCTAGAACACTATGTGTCTTCTTGTTGTATTAGAGTTTTAGCATAGTTCAATACACTTCGCTTTAGTAGAAATTTTCAAGATTGTTTACGGTTGTCAAAACTAATGACTACCTTTGGTGGGTTATTTCCAGGAGAAGAACAAGATGAGTTCTAAACCAGCTGCAGGAAACCAAGATGACTACAAAATCAAGGACACAAAGCCACAGCTGGGTGAGAGATGGCCACATGGAGGAGTAAGGGGAGGAGGAGGGTGGATAAGCAGTGACAGAGTAACGAGCACTTATGATCTTGTGGAGCAGATGTACTATCTTTATGTTCGAGTTGTGAAGGCAAGAGATCTTCCCATCAACCCCTTGACAGCAAGCTGTGATCCCTACGTTGAAGTGAAACTTGGGAATTATAAAGGAAAAACACAGCATTTTGAGAAGAGAACTTACGCAGAGTGGAAGCAAGTATTTGCTTTCTCAAAAGAAAAGATACAGTCTACGGTTCTTGAAGTCTATGTCAAAGACAAAGATATGATAGCTAGAGATGATTATCTGGGGAAGGTGGTGTTTGACATGAATGAAGTGCCTACAAGGGTCCCACCGGATAGTCCGTTAGCACCTCAATGGTATAGACTAGAGGACCGAAGGGGAGAAAGAAAGGTTAAAGGCGAGATCATGCTTGCAGTTTGGATGGGAACACAAGCTGACGAGGCTTTTTCTGAAGCTTGGCATTCTGATGCCGCTACAGTTCATGGGGAGGGAGTTTTTAGCGTAAGATCAAAGGTGTATGTTTCACCCAAACTTTGGTACCTCAGGGTCAATGTGATAGAAGCACATGATGTCGAAGCTCAAGACAAGTCTCAACTTCCTCAAGTTTTTGTAAAGGCTCAACTTGGAAATCAGATCCTTAAGACCAAGCAGTCTCCAACAAAAACAACCAATCCACTCTGGAATGAAGACTTGGTTTTCGTAGCAGCAGAGCCTTTTGAAGAACAGTTGGTACTTACACTTGAAAATAAAGCGAGTTCAAAAGAGGAGATTGTGGGCAGAATTGTTCTGCCGCTCCACGTCTTCGAGAAGAGGTTAGATCATCGACCTGTTCTTTCTCGGTGGTTCAACCTTGAACAGTTTGGTTTTGGTTTAATAGAGGGAGAGCGAAGAATGGAGCTTAAGTTTTCAACTCGCATTCATCTCCGAGCTTGTCTTGAAGGTGGCTATCATGTACTAGATGAATCTACTATGTACATTAGTGACCAGCGGCCCACTGCTCGTCAACTATGGAAAAAGCCAATTGGGATCCTCGAAATAGGAATTTTAAGCGCACAGGGACTCCAAGGAATGAAAACAAAGGATGGGAAGAAAACCACAGATGCCTATTGTGTGGCTAAATACGGACAAAAGTGGGTGAGAACCAGAACCATACTCGAGAGCTTCAATCCAAAATGGAACGAGCAGTATACATGGGAAGTTTACGACCCGTGTACAGTTGTCACTTTGGGAGTGTTTGATAACTGCCATTTGGGAGCCGCAGAACAGGCGGGAGGAGGAAAGGATTCAAGAATCGGAAAGGTAAGAATACGATTATCAACATTAGAAACAGATCGAATTTACACACATTCTTATCCACTTCTTGTTTTACAACCATCTGGACTAAAGAAGACAGGAGAGCTCCAATTAGCCTTTCGTTTCACTTGCTTGTCTCTAGCCAACATGATCTATCTTTACAGTCAGCCTTTACTCCCCAAAATGCATTACCTGCATCCTTTAACTATAAACCAATTAGATAGCTTGAGATATCAAGCCATGAACATCGTCGCAGTGAGGCTAGGCCGAGCTGAGCCTCCACTTCGAAAAGAAGTAGTCGAATACATGTTGGATGTAGACTCTCACATGTGGAGCATGAGAAGGAGTAAAGCAAACTTTTTCCGAATAGTTTCCCTTTTCTCGGGTGTGATATCAATGAGCAAATGGCTTGGAGATGTTTGCCACTGGAAAAATCCCATCACTTCAATCCTAGTTCATGTCCTCTTTTTCATACTGGTCTGTTTCCCAGAGTTGATTCTCCCAACCATCTTTCTCTACATGTTCCTTATCGGAATATGGAATTTCAGATCTCGGCCTCGCCATCCTCCACATATGGACACTAAACTATCTTGGGCAGAAGCAGTACAACCTGATGAACTAGATGAAGAGTTTGATTCTTTTCCTTCATCTAAGCCTCAGGATGTAACAAAAATGAGGTATGATAGGCTTCGTAGTGTCGCAGGAAGAATCCAAACCGTGGTCGGCGACATTGCGACACAAGGAGAAAGGTTTCAGGCTCTACTGAGCTGGAGAGATCCGAGAGCAAGCTGTCTGTTTATAGTTTTCTGCCTTATTGTTGCAGTGGCTCTGTATGTGACACCCTTCAGAATTGTTATCTTGGGCACGGGTTTGTTCTTGCTAAGGCACCCAAGGTTCCGAAGCAAGATGCCTTCAGTGCCCAGTAACTTCTTCAGGAGATTACCAGCTCGTGCTGATAGCATGCTTTGAGAAAGAACTACAGAGAAGTTATAGAATGCTTGGTATATGTAATATCACGAAACTGTTGTCATTTTGTAATATGCGTTAATATTTTGATTCATTTGAAGGTTCAAGTTTTAACACTTCAAAACGTAACAGTTTCTTCTAAAAAATACTCGCTAGTGCCGACATTCATCACCATGTCTAGCATATCAAAGAATTTCCAAACGCCATGGTTGTTTTTTCCAACTGCCACAACAACTAACTAAAGTTCTTGAGCAAACCAATGAATATAACATCATGAGCGGTTATCTCTCAAGATCAGAGCTTTCAACCCGATCATCATCCATATCGTTTGTTCTATCAGAACATTGACTTCGTACCTGTTACAAAGATTCAATAATAGATTTGAAAGATGACACAGAAAAAGGTCAAGTAAAGGACTTAAAGTAGATAGCATTGACATTATAATTAAATACATGTGTATTTTTGGCGATCAGTTCGATCCAAACCATTCAAAAAAACGTTTAAACTGCTGACCAACTAAGCGGTTTGGCTATTTTTCAAGACCAGACCAAACCGTTAAAAACGATATGATTTGACTTGGTTCGACTGGTTTGAATGGTCCAACAGTCTTTTTAACACCCCTATGTCGTGTAACTTTTATAATCTCTGAGACGATCTCAAACCCTTAATGTTTGTAGCACACACAAGTCAAATAATTATAAGGAATTGCAACAAGTGAATCAAAATTACACACAAGAAACGGGCTGGAGTTGGGCACGATGTTCAAGATAATGGTGGATGTGAATGATGATGAGGGGAAGTTTGAAGAGTTGGTCACAATGGTTCTGCTTTTATAGTCAACGTCATTAGGGGGCAAGAGTTTAGGGGAAATAAAGATGAATCAATGAACAAAAAGGTCGGCTTTGAAAGCAAACTTACAAAGTAACTCTCTTTAATCCAATCTCATAATTAATTTTAAATCCAAGACATTTATTCATAGGTGTCAATACAAACATGTAAGCCCAAAGCCCATTACAAAGTAATGAATATTTTAATACAATACATGATTTTATACAACTTTCAATATCTTGGGGTTAATCTAGACCTAACAACATATGAACTATATGTACATATGTGAACTCGTTAATTAGTTCATATCTAAACATTTTCAACTGATTCATATATGAACCTGCAAATTCATATAATTCATATATGAATCAATTAATTAGTTCATATGTAAATCACACAGATTCATATGTGAATCGGTTAAAATAGTTCATATGTGAATTGCACAAGTTCACATATGAACACGTAGTTCATATGTGAATCACATAGGTTCATATATGAACTCATTTGCCGTCTATTTGTAAAAGTTACGAAATTATCCTCTCTATTTTTCATATAGCCACAATTATTGACCAGTCAAATCTAATCTTGATCGTATGAAAGGGTAACACTTCTTTACTTCTCAAATATTTTAGTTTTCAAAATAACCTTTGCATTATATATATATATATATATATATATATAGAGAGAGAGAGAGAGAGAGAGAGAGGGGGGGGGGGGGGGGGTTCATTTGAGAAGTGGTAAATATTTGAGAAGTAAAGAAGTGACCATAGCCCTTTATCTAGTCAACATTTGCAACTTTCACTGTGAAGCACCAGATAATTCCATTGCATAGTATGCAGAAGATAGAATGGTAGTTTCATAACTTTTATAAATCGGCGGCAAAACAAGTTCATATGTGAACCCATTAATTAGTTCACATGTCAACTATTGAATTGATTCACATATAAACCCACATGGTTTATATGTGAATCAGTTAACTAGTTTATATGTGAATCACACGGGTACATAGCTGAATCGGTTAATTAGTTCATATGTAAATTAGCAGGGTTTATATGTGAATCAACTAAAATAGTTCATATGTGAATCAGATAAAATAATTCATATGTTAATTATATGAATTCACATATGAACTTATAGTTCATATGTGAATCAGATAAAATAATTCATATGTTAGTTACATGAATTCACATATGAATTTATAGTTCATATGTGAATAACAAAGCAAATATTTGCCTCCGAGGAAAGGATGATTCATTCGGATTAACATGAGAGCCCCGCTGCATTGCATTGCCAGAATCAATGTTGTATATTTGAATTAGGTTGACCTTCTTGCTTCTCTCTCGATACAATCCTCTTCCCATCGAGCCCCCTTTGCCGCATATTTGTATAAGTTATGGAACTATCTTTCTATTTTTGGCATAACCATAAACTTTGACCAGTCAAAACCGCAATTTTAGACCAGTCAAAGCAGCAATGTTTGACCAATCAAATCCCATCTTGACTGTATGAAAGGTTAGGATTACTTTTTTTACTTCTCAAAATGACATATGACTATATATATATATATGTGTGTGTGTGTGTGTGTGTGTGTGTGTGTGTACATGTATAGACGGAGTACAAACGAGAACCTCTCTATTTTGTGAAAACGTGAAACAATTGTGGGCCTCAAACTTTATTAACCAATAATTTAAATTATAATAAATGAAAGTAAATCATTAAGGGTTGTTATGTAATTATGTATTTTCTATAAATTTAATATTTTTTTAATTAACTGTATTTATCTCATGGTTTTCGATGAGAATCTGATCACATCTCTAATCGTTTAATCTAATACCAAATTCGATCATCTTGCTCGACTCGAAGATTTGACTTTGATATCAATGTGATACCCAATCATCTTGCTCTACTCAAAGTGTTAACCGTGATAGCAATGTTATTATCAATCAACTTCTGCATATCGATTCGAAATGTTAACTATGATAATCATATGATACTCAATTCAACTTCTGTTAATCGATTCATCAACTCTGATAGCAATGTGATACACATTCAATATTGTAATCCAAATGTGACAATTGTGATAAAAATGGTGTGATAGCAATGTGATACCCAATCATCTTCCGCTAATCGATGTGATAACTGTGAGTCAATCAACTTCCCCTACTCAATGTGTTAAATGTGATAGCAATGTGATAAATAGGTGATACCACAACAATAAAGACGGTTTAACATGTTCTCACCTTAGTTTCGCCCTAATAATTCGTTCTAACAAGTGTGATAAATACGTTATATCACACCAAATCAGTAATTTAATACAATAAGGGATTCTTCAATTTTGTTCTAATAATTCTAACAAATGTGATAACTATGTACATATGTCATACATCTTCTCAGCCAACGGTGCATATTCTTTTTCTCGTTGCCTCCAATGTTGATAGCTTGTACATATGACTATATGAGTTGGATTTTTCCCTAATACTCCTCTTTTATCGACTCTTGTGATATTGATGTCGATTTTGCCTACTACTCTTCTCTATCGACTCATGTGATCATGACGGTCAAACGACTAAGCTTATCACTCCCACGATGATTGGCACTAGTTGTCCGTGTTATGTGATCTGCGTTTTCTTTTTCTTTTTTTTTCTTTTTAACCCTACAATGTCGTTAATATTTTTAAAAACTCTTGAATATTAATTTAAATTTGAAAACTCCCATAATTTCTCTTAAATTGTGATTTGAAACATAAAGTGTGGCTTAGAGATTGTTCTCCGTTCTCATAAATCACAGTGATTCTCGTTTGAACCTCTCTCTCTCTCTCTCTCTCTCTCTATATATATATATATATATATATATATATATGTATATATATATATTTCCATGAAACATTTTTAATGTCCATGAAAATTGTGTGGATCATGTGGAGAGAGTGATATAAATGAGCTAGTTCAGATCTGCGTTCATAAAATAAAGTCAAATAAACCGTGTACAATCGTCAATAAATATGACAAAACATCAAGTTCACTCCTTTTGGGATGTGGTGATGGAACCCAAACGGCATAATCTACAAAATCAAAAACCCAAGAAGCTCGTGATAAGCGATTCATTCAAAGTAAAAGATAGCATTTTGTTCTATTTGCATCTTTTAGAAATGCAAATTTAAGTTAAATATAAACTTTTATTCCACCTACCTCACAGTTTTCGGCCAAAGATTCATAAAATCGAAATTCCGTCATTGTTAGATCAATGGAATTAATTTGATAGATAATGATCCGCCAAAATGCTTTATATGTTACTTTCCGAATAGATAAGATAAATAAGATACAAGGTTAATTTTTCCTAATTTACCACAAGAAACAAAAAGCCCCGCATTTACGGGACGACATGTGACCTAGCATCGTCTCACACATCGCAAAACGTTAAGTATATGAATCATCAAGATACACAAGTTCTCTAAAATTTCCAAGTGGCCATGAAATAAGTTAGGTATTACAAAGAGAGTAAGGAGATGGAAGATAGGAATGGATACTAGTGATAAAAACAGGCCACATGTGGTGTGGGGGGTAACACTCCAAAACTGACTTTCAAGGGAACATTGTCTACAGCTGTAATATACACAAATAAGCCAGCCCCAGCCCCCTCCCCTGCCCCTACCCCCCGCCCCCACTTTCTTCTGTGTTTTCCTTTGGACTCGAGTCTTACAAGTTACCCATTTTTATCTTCGTTTTCTAAATGTGTTGTTATCGTAACACTTGTATATTTGTTCTGCATTCAAGAATGTAATTTCTAGTACTTGAGAAATCAGAAATTCAGGAACCTGAAAGTATTCTTTTTGGTACTTGGACCCTAATATTCATCTTCCTATTTAGCATTTTGTATATATATATATATATATATATATATATATATATATATATAGGTAATCACCGTGTAAGAAATAGAGTTAAGGTAAGAAGCGTAAGAAGGGATCTAGACCATTGATCACCTTTAATCTCAAACCCACTCATGAATCACGCTTGATACAAAGACTGATCCGGTGCATATCATCCTAATGTGCATCAAAGGGTGAAGATTTTTCTTACGCTTCTCACCTTAACTCTCTTTCTTCATCGGAACCCAACCCTATATATATTTACCAATGCAACCACTTGGGCTGTGAAGCAGTAAGGCTCGAGGGTATAAAGTGGAAATATTATCTTCTTAGATCCGAAACTAATGTCCTGTTTGATTTGCATGAATGAAATGGATATGGATTTGGGGGATTTGGATTTCAAATCCATTACAATCTCATGTTTGGTTTGTTGGATTATCCTAATTTGAAATCCTTAGATTTAATTGAAATCCTACAAACATAAGATTTTGAAATCCTTAGATAATGCTACAGGATTTTATAGAATTATAACAAATAAATTTTTAAAAAATGTTAAAAACATTTATTTATTAATAATCGATTAATAAAAATTTAATTTAATTATTTTCATCGTTCTTTATAATTTTTTTTAACCAATGATTTCAAACCCATTCCAATCCAAATTCTTGAATGAAATCTAAATCCCTCAAAAACAATCCTACAAATCAAACAGATCCTAAGTGTTGCAAAAACCTTTGTCGCCATGAAGATTTACCTAAGATGACCTTCAAGCAATTGGTTGTCGCCCGTGGGATTAGTCTCTCTCTGTATATGTGTATATATATATATATATATACACACACACAGATGCAACTGTGAGATAATTAATAGCTATTATTTATCCCTAAGAATAAAACCATGTTCTTTTGCACATGGGTTCAAGAAGTTATATATGATTCCTTCCAGGAGTGTATCTTTGTCTGCTTCCATCACTCATCATTTCACAACTGAAACTAAAACAAAGAATACTACCAACTTGCTAAAATAACAACTATATTCATTCTACTGGAACTGGTGCCTTGATTTTATGTCGTTAGTTTTTCCCAAAAATACAAGCAGATTCCTATTCCCTCTTTACCATCAACCTTGGGCTAAAATAGAATTACCCGTCTGTTTACGGAACTCCAAACTTTCCAGTATGAATGCTCAAACAAAAATCAAGACAACCACTTAACCAAATAAGAACACATAACTTGGATTCTTGCCCACTTCATTTTCTATGGGCACCATTAGTCACAGAAAGCCATCAGCACAAAGTTTCACTGCTAGGTGCCCATTTACCAAGAAACCAACTGAACAGAAATGAAAATTCCCTCCTAATTAAAGAAACATTTGATAGAAGAAGTTTACTGCCAGTCCAAGATATTTAATAACAGCCATGACCCTACTAATTAATAACAGCTATGGATAGATTCAAACAAAAATCACGACCTAAAAAACTACTAACCAAAAGGTGACATAGTCAAGTTTAAAGTTGAGAACGACGGACGACCCTGTGAAACCACAGGATGTACAAAATGCTGTTTCTATGTTCCATACCAGGATTGATATTTTTTGCTGGAAAGAAACTCCTTTTTGAGTCAACACCTTCTCTGGACCTGCAAAGACAAACAAATGGATGATTTTGGTAAATGATGAAGCCGAGCTTTTCTCATAGCATGCAATCAGTCCTCGCTGGTAATCTTCTAAAGAAGTTGAGTGGGACCGAAGGTAGCTTGTGGCGGAACCTTGGATGTCTTAACACATAGAAGCCAGTCAGAAGGGCCACAACTTGGAATGGTGTGACATACAGAACAATAGCAGCGATTAAACAGAAAATTACAAACAGTGCTGTGGCTCTGGGGTCTCTCCAGCTGAGTAACGACTGAAGCCTCTCTCCTTGTGTTGCTAAATCGCCAACCACCGTCTGAATCCTTCCAGAAATACTCCTCAAACGATCGTACCTCATCCTTATGATATCAGCCGGCCGAGATGTGGGAAAGGTATCGAATTCTTCATCTAGTTCATCAGGGTGTGCATTATCTGCACAAGAGAGGCGAGTGTCCATGTGGGGAGGCTTCTTTGGTCTCCATCTGTAGTACCAAACTCCAATTAGAAAGAGATAGAGAAAAATAGTGGGCAGAATAAGCTCTGGATACAAGACCAATATCAAGAAAAGGATGTGGATGAGGACAGTGGTGATGGGATTCTTCCAATTACATATCTGATCAAACCATTTCCCAACTGCAATCAAACCACCCAATACTCCCATGATTCTGAAGAAATTAGCTTTACTTCTTCTCATACTCCACATGTGAGAACCCACATCCAGCATATACTCCACAATTTCTTTCCTCAAGGGTGGCTCAGCCCGGCTGAGCCTCATGGAGACGATCTGAGTGGCCTGGTGCCTCAGGCTATCAAGCTGGGTGACAGTTAAAGGATGAATGTAGTGCATTTTGGGCAAGAGTGGTTGTGAGTACATGTGCATCATATTCAGCAATGATGAGCAAGTGAACCTTACTGCCAAATGAATCTCGCCCATCTTTTTCACCCCAGATGGATGCAAAAGTAAAAGGGGGTAAGAATGAGTGTAAACACGATCAGTTTCAAGTGTTGAAAGACGAATCCTGACCTTTCCAATCCTTAAATCCCTTGACCCTCCAGCCTTATCCCCACCTTGCAAATGGCAGTTATCAAACACACCGATGGTTATAACCGTGCATGGATCAAAAACTTCCCAAGTATACTGCTCATTCCATTTCGGAGTAAAACTGTCTATTATTGTTCTTGTTCTGACCCACTTTGTCCCATACTTGGCCACACAATATGCGTCTGTTGTAGCCCTTCCATCTTTTGGCTTCATTGGTGTTAACCCATTGGCGCTCAAGATTCCGACCTCAAGAACCCCAATGCTACTCTTCCATAACTGCTTAGCTGTTGGCCTAAGATCACTACTGTAGTGAGTAGATTCATCAAGAACATGATAACCACCTTCCAAGCAAATTCTCATGTGAATCCTGCTAGCAAACTTGACTTCCTTTTTCTTTTCCCCATCAACGATAACATGTTTCTCCAGATTAAACCACCTTGTGTTGATGGCTTTGTGGTCTAACCTCCGATCCACATACTGCAGAGGAATTGCACACATTCCAAGAACTTCATCCTTGTTAGGCGCAACCCTGTCTTCCACACTCAAAATCAAGTGCTCTTCAAATGGTTCTGCAGCTACAAACATCAAGTCCTCATTCCACATAGGATTGATAGACTTGTTCATAGATACTCTAGTCCTCAAAGCCTGATTTCCAAGAATGGCCTTGACAAAAACTTCGGGGAACCTAGTTCTATCACTGGGTATCAAGTCCTGTGCTTCAATCACATTAACTCTGAGATACCAAAGTTTAGGTGAAAGATACACCTTTGAACGGATATTGGCAAGACCATCAGCTCCACCAACAGAAGCAGCATCTGAATGCCATGCTTCAGGAAATGCTTCATCGGCTTGCGTACCCCACCACACAGCTAACATCAGCTCTCCCTTGAGCTTGTTCCCTTTCTTGTCTTCCAATCTATACCATTGAGGAGCCAGAGGACTATCAGGTGGCACCCTCTTTGGAACCTCACTAAGATCAAATAAAACCCAGCCCATGAAATCATCTTTCATAACATCTTTATCCTTTACAGAGACCTCAAGCATAGTAGACTGAATCCTGTCTCTGGAGAAAGCAAACACCTGGTTCCACTCAGGATTTGATTTTTTCTCAAAATGGCGAGTTGTTCCCTTATAGTTTCCCAGCCGAACCTCTGTGTAAGGGTCGCAACTACCAGTGACATCTTTCGCAGGTAATTCTTTTGCTTTTACTACACGTACATATAGGTATTGCATTTGTTCCACAAGGTCATACGTGCTAGTGAGCTTATCCCCTGCGACCTTCCCTCCACCGAGGTGGGGTTTGGTCTCCTTGAGTGAGAAATCATCATGGGGAGGAGGTCTGTGCATCATCTGAGTTTTCTCAGAACTGAAAAAGAAAACACACACAAGTTTAACAAGAAAAGCTTTCAGACCCTTAAAACAAGGACTACTAATCAAGTAACTGAAGAAAACAAGTGGCAGACAAAGTTTTACTCAAGTCTTAGTGGAGTTTGGAGCTAGGATTATCATAAATAAAAGAGGAAAAACGTTATAAAATATATATCTACTAATTAACACCTTAAATATTTAGGAAAGCTGAGTCGAAGGCTTCAGATCTAAATGCATCTGACCTGCAAGAAAAAAGAAAAAGAAAAAAAGCAAAGCAAATAAATCAAACCCTAGTTTAAACACACACACGCAAAGAATCAACAGAATACTAAATATTTAGCTATAAATTCAAACCACTAGAAAAGCAAAAAGAAGCAGATAGAAAATTTAAATCTGAATATAAGAGAGACAAAGATTCATAGCTGAAAATGAAATTACGTAACAGGCTAATTTTTTTTTAAATGTAAGAATCGAAATCAAGAAAAACCCTAGAATCACATGAATGCAGGTTCGTTCATCAAACGCTGTGTTAACTAGATATAGATACATTTTAGAGGGGAATATGCAAAGGAATGTGTATATACCTCACTAAGAACAATAACGATAGAGAGATCTTGTGGAAGATCTGAATGGATTCCTGATAAGGATTTAATTGATGAACATAATGGAGTTGCTTTTTATATTTGGAGGGATCAGATTCATGAGAATATAGAGAGGATTTGAGGCGAAGAAAGGTGCGATGGCAACAGGGGGTTTTGGAGAGAGAAACAAGGGTTTTAGAGAGAGAGAAAAGTGGAGGAGGAGGAGGAGGTGGTGGGTATGTCTGTCTGTGCGCCTTCCTGTGTCTTTAAGAAAGAATGCAACAATGTAAATTTGGGTGAATTGCAATTATACCCCCTAAACTTATTATTATTATTATTCATAGAGGCCCCTTCATATTGAGAACATTTGCACTTGGAAAAAAAACAGTAATTTTTATTACATATATATAATAATAATTAAAAAAGTAGAGTTAATTATTAATATATATATATATATATGTGTGTATGTTATATG